TGTGTGTGTGTGTGTGTGTGTGTGTGTGTGTGTGTGTGTGTGTGTGTGTATAAGAGAGGTGTGAGGAGGGCAATAATATTGACACAAGGCAAGATTGAAATAACAGAGAGACAGTGTGTATTAAAGAAAAAGAGAGGAGCTGGACCCCCCCTCCCCTTTATACCCTGCGGACAATCCTATTGTTATTTCAGATTGTGTGTGTGTGTGTGTGTGTGTGTGTGTGTGGGGTACTGAGCCTTTGCCCAGCATGTAAGCAGATTAAAGAAAGGTGTGTTCAGCAGAAAACTTTATATGTTGCACAGTGGAGTAGAGTAGCTTACACCTTACACCCCAAGCCAAGCACAGAGTTATAAACAGCTTGCCTGCCATACAGTTCTTTACACAAATACACTAATGGGTGACAAGTTAGCAGAAAAATAACAACAAAGTGTAAGAGTAAGGTATTGGTCTACCACAAGCACTAGACAAGACGAAAAGCAATTGTTTGTGTTCTTTATTTATTTTGTGTTTTTTTCTTTACAAAATTCGTGTCTTTCTTCTGTGCTAGTTGCAGCGTTGCAACACACGTTGAATGAGGTTTGACAACAGAATTGAGAACAAAGCATTTAGCATTTCAAAACTATTCCACAGTAAATGTCACAGTAAATAGAGTACGATGAGTCCCTCACGTATTAATACCGCAGCAAATCATTTAAACTGCGTTGAAATAATGGGAAATACAACGTGTGGCCATGTGTGTTGTTAAACTTCGTTAATCACACTGTTGTTTCCCCTTTCCCCCCTGCGTTCCTCCGCTTTCACTCAGAACGACTGACTGGAGGCCAAACATCCTGACTGCTTAAAAGTTTTACATCAGCAGACTTGTCACCATGGCAACAAACCCATTGGCCTGGCAGGAACAGGGTCCAGTCAACTCGTTAGACAAGTGGGTCAAGGAGTCCTGGGAGCAAGGTGAAGAGAGTGCAACCATAATCCACAACTCCCCTCGGCAAGACAGAAAGGCTCCCACAGCAGAACCCGAGGAGGACATAGACGTCCAGGAGTTAGGAGCTCGAGATCAAACACTGTCCGAGAACCAAACACTCTCAAGAAACGAAGCATCCGATGCAACCAAATCGGAAAATCCGGAATCTGCAAGAATTAGCCCGTGCATCCCCGGGAAGACACAAGAGATGGTGACAGAATTAGTTACCCTGCAATTTGAAGAATCACAGGCCGAAGAGGAGAAGTCACCATGTGAGGATGCTGCTTCATCAACAGAGGAATGCTTTGAGAAAGACAGCCTTTCCAGCCTTGAGGGGGAGGTGGCTGAGATCATGTTGGACCCAACAGAGGACCTTATGTCTCCTGATGGCCAGAATAGTCATGAATGGCCACCTCTTCTATCTGAGCCAGTAAATAAAGAGGTAGATGCATCATTGGAGGAGATGACAACACAGAAGAATGGCACACAGCTGGTCTTCTTATCGGATGGTTTTGACTACAGTGAACCTGAAAGTAAGATGTCAGTGGCTGCAGCTGCTGGATCGAATTCAACAGCTCATCATTCTCCCTTTGACAGAAACAACTCAGATGAGGTGCACACTGTTTGCTCTCCTCCTTTTGCTGATGAGAGCGGGGAAGAAGAGGAAGTGAGCATGGATATTATGTCCCGTCAGCATCAATGGACTATGCTAGATATCAGAGGCAAGCCTTTCCACCCCTCACATCTTGCTAATATCTCAGTTTCCAATGAACAAGACCCAACGTCAACCCTGCCTGCATTTTTCTCAGCCAAACAGCAGGAGGAGCTGTTCCTCCAGCGCCAAAGGGAGTTTGCCCCCAGGGGAGTAAACCAGGAAGCTGCACAACAGGTGCTGGGCCAGAGCTCTTCACCTTTGTCGACCGTTGCCATGGAGCCATCCAATCAGGGCGGGGCAGGCTCTGGTTGTGCTGCAGCTGTGAGAGAAAGGCGCAGCAGGTTGGGGGACAGGACAGAGGGAGGAAGCAAGCAAACAGGTGTAGAGGGAGCGCATAAAGAGAGTGGACTTGAAAGGAACAAGGTTGTTGGGCAGCAACGCGGCAGAGGACTGTTGAAATATTCAGAAACAGTCCAAATGGAAAAGGTTAAGACAGAAAAACTCAGCTTTGTGTCTGCTAAACACGCCAGGATGGAGAGTGACTCGTGTGATGATAGCCAGAGCGACAGTGGAGTTTCAGCGGACTTCTCCCCATGCAGCACTTTGGAGGGCACCTCCACCATCTCTATGGTCTCTCCAGCAGCTGTGCCCAAAGAGACTCCCATTGAGAGGGAGATCCGACGGGCTATAGAGCGTGAACACAGCCTCAGAAGATCCAGAGGGCTTCCGAATCCATCCACTTCGCCAGAGTACGTAGAGATCCCTTTAAGGAAAACTGTTCTCTGCCAGTCCGTAAATGCTAAGTCTGAGAGGAGTCAAGGCAAAGACAGGCAGTTTACAGGCAAAAAGATGCAGCACGAGATCCACGAGGAGGCCCAGAGGGAACAGGATCTAGTGAAGCTTGGGAAAGTTCCAGGCTTCTATGACAAAGGCACTGTGCGCCAACTCAAGGAGAGAAAACAGCTTTTTGAGGCATTTCAGAAACCCAGTGACTTAACTTTGAATGTGTCAACTCGGAGTAAGGCCACGTCCTGGTCCTCCACCAGTGACATTTCAACCCTGGAGACCCAGGAGGACATCTCCTCCCAGGCATCCACCATAGGAGGCTCATATGTGGAGAGGATTCCCACACCGAGCCCAAGCTTAGCCAAAGAAGGGGGCGCCTCTGCTTGGACTCCCAGAGGACCAGGGTTCTCTGAGGGGACAGCCTGTCAGGTCATCATCCTAGAGAGCAATCTGAGTGTTCCAGCGCAGAAGCTCTGCCACGCCAAACCAGAGGCAGAGCCCGTCACTGTAGTCGATTCTGGAGGTGCTGACATTTCATCATCCAGGAGAAGTGGACATGGTGGGATTAAAGTGAGAGAACAGGAAGAGGACGAGGAGGCACCTAAGGAGAACCCCTTTTTTAAGCTGCGCTCCTCAACAAATTTAATTAAAGTGGAGCAGGACATCCGGGAGGCTCAAGAGAGGGAAAAGGAGCTTCACAAGCAGAGGGTCAGTCTGTATGGGGGCACAGGAGAGCGGGTAGGAGGAGGGAAGCCAGTCACCACGTTGTCCTCTTCGCCATCACTGAATGGACTGGCTGTTCCTGACTTACCTGGCTCGTCATCCAGAGGGGGAACTAGACCCACAGCAGGTTGGTATAGCGCCGAGTGTTTGAAGTGTGTGTATGTGGGTACGACTGAACCCACACAGACAATGTGTTTGTGTGTATGGATGCTTGCATGTGGAATTATGTGTGTCATTTTTTACATGTGGTGAGATGCTGTAACCCCCCCCCCCCCAAAACAGCACGTTATATCATTTTTTCTCATGGTCATTGGAAAACCTCTAAACAGCTTTCAAAATCAGCGTTGGCTGCTATGAGCAATAATTTTGCACCGGGGACCAAAAGCGGGCTGACAAGAAAACTAAATTCTGTAACTTCACAATAAATATAGCGCTTAGTCAGTCATATTAATTGCAAAAGCTGAGATGAGCAAAAGCCCTGAGTTATATCTCGACACTTTATTGTGTCAGCAGGAAAGGAACACGTTAGAAGAGTCCAATTTTGGGATGAAGCATTCGAAAAGTGCATACAACTTTGTTTTTTTTAGTTCTAATGGTGATATAGAGACTTATGACAACAAGAGCAAATGTGAAATACAGTGCTGCCAATACAGCCTGCTGAGAGGACAAGTTATTAACATCCATCTCTGCGATTGTGTGTGCTGCACTGTTTAGCAGTGATTCCCAACCAGGGGTACTTCTGCAGCTGTCAGGGGGTTAGTGAAGCTTAAGTGATACATATACTGTACATCAACCCTGTCTCCGCCAAAATTACGCCCCCATACAACTGAACTGCATTCTCAATTACGTTTCGAAAGAAAAATGTATTTTCTCTCACATTAGTGTCGCAGTCTTAAACACTTGGTTAACGTTGTAAATTGAAACAAAGCGGAAAAGCAACGAAATGACTTGGTTGCGTTTGGTAAAACATCATGGTTTGGTTTAAAATAAGGTACGTTTGTTACGTTATTTAAGTTACAGACGTACATAAAAATAAGTCAACGTTGACTTTTAAAACGAACAGCGCTTGACTTGGTGAAAGTCCTGTGTTTGTTTAACCCATATATATATATATATGTATGAATTCAAGCGTCATCAAACAAATCGTTAGCTTCAACAAATTACCACATTTTTGAGGAGGAGGTGCTTGACTTCATCTGCAGGTGTGTGTGGCTACGTACGTCAGGCAACAGACTGCAGTGCTGTATGTTTGTGTTTTGTTGGCAGGAAGGGTTGCCAACGTGCTTTTTGTGACTGTATGTAAATGAAAGTGTCACCGGCCATCGTAGGTTTCATAACTGTGTGACCAACCGAACAGGGTGTGGTGTCCTACTACAGTTAATGACTATGACTCATTGATGGTAAATGAACAATCACGTATTTCACAGACAATGAGTTATGCAACCTTTTTTAATATTCCCTCATTGCCTACTTTTTGTTTGTCTTTCACCAATGTAACGTTCACATTTCTTTCCCTTAATGCTGCATTCACGTGGAATCAGGCGGACGGTAGACAGCAAACCGGATATCATATTAGTGGACGAGAGCAGGATGGTGAAATTAGGTAACAGCAGACGGCATTGCTGTCCAACTCTGCACAGAATTTACAACTGGATGATATGTTGATGATACTCCTTCACGCAAGGAGAACATTGTTTAAATTTGCAATATAACATTTTACATCCACATGCATTACATAAAATAGTAGACACAAACTGATTTTATTTCATATATTTCATTCCATCACCATAAACATATGTTTCATTTTGCCATCCTGCCATTCCGTTGGGCTGTTTGTTTCCGTTGTTTTTCCCGTGCCAACCAGAAAGTGTCGTCCGTCCGCCTGATTGCAGGTAAAAGCAGCATAATTCCCTCTTCATTCCTCTCCGCTTCTTCATGTTGACTCTTTAATTTGCTTCAAGGAGGCTTCATTGCTCACAGTGTATAGAGAGCACAGACAGAGATCACAGGGACAACCTTTGCCTCATTGCTACCCGGATGCCAACTCTTGCTCACCCTTTTTCATTTATTCTCTCTCTGTCTCTCTCGCAGCACGCCAGTCAGTTGGCAAGTTCGGCATGTGGCCCCCGGCCCAGGCTGAAGAGGAGAGGATTGACCGGCCAGAGGTGAGTCAGCACTGGCAATCTACCTAATGCAATTACATTACATTGCAACGCCCTTTACACTGTTGCTTGCTATAACCTTATGAACATTTGACCATGTGGAAAAACACCAGGCCTCACGTGACATCTACCAGAGATTTCTTCTTTTTTTTTTTGCTGCATTAAACACCAACCCTTGTACACTTGGTATAGGACATGAAAATGTAGGCAAATCACCTTCCTGACTCTTCCTCAAATGCAGGCAAAAGGATATCAGGTTCCACAATCATAAAGCTTCTTCAACGGAGAGTTCTTATATGAATCGCAATGTCGCTTTGGGGGGGGGGTTTAGTTCAGACTCTCAGCAGGCATGAATACGAGCGCGTGTTTAAAACTGCCCCGAATTGAAACGGGTCCAATGACGAAAGGCTCTTGGGAGGATGTCTCTTTTGCATCAAATATGGGCCACAAACATCTGATAACATACTGAACACACAGTAAGAAGCTTATCTCTATAGATAAGGGAAGAAGGAGCTCAGAGACAGAGAGGAAGGGAGAGACTGTAGAGTGTGTGAGTGTGTGAGCGTGTGGGCGGGAATGTGTGTACGTATGTGTGTGTAGTCAATAGTGGAGAAAGAGAAAAGTTAATCGACAATCCCACTGATTTCCGTTACCTGCCTTGTGGGCCTTGCATCTCTTTGCAACTGTGATATCTCTGATTAGAGTTGAGTGCTGCTTTAGCTCTTTAATTCAGTTTGGCATTGATACGCTGCGCTTTAGCTGCACGCTTCAGCTGCATGCTTCAGCTGCATGCTTCAGTTTGACGCTGGCATTAGCAACGTTTTGCTCTCTTTCCTCTGCCTTCCTCACGCGTCTCTCTCTCTCTCTCTCGCTCTCTCTCTCTCTGCTGGTTAGTTATCTGCTTTCTGCACAACCTGTTTCCTGATTAGAGTTCAAGAATAGATGCAGGATCGCAGGAGAAATTGGCCTCAGTTGTTGACAGAGTCACACCGAACACGGTGTTGGATCACAGTCACATTAACCTCCCTCTGACTCGCAGAGCTAATGATGCTCATCCAACGAGATGTCCGAGAGGAAATAAATCCATCCGTTTCTTTTTTTTAATCTTTTCTTGCTCCGTTTTCCCCCCCTGTTTTGGCTTATTGGTGTCGCCTCCTGCTCCCACACATCTGTTGTTTCTGCTCTTTAATTCTCTTTTCTTTTTCTACTCCAGCTTTCATCCTGTCTCCGTCATCTTTTACATCCGAATCACCACTCAATCCCTCTGTCCTTTACTCCCGTCTTTTCACCCAGGTCCCCCAGAGTCCCCGGACCCCGAGACAGAAGACCCCTCTGGTACAACAGTGGGAGTCAGGTCTAGTCAACGGACACAACATGGAAGACAACTGAGGAGATGGTGATGGAGTGAAAAACTGGAGTAGGGAGGAAGGTTACCCGAGACCCGTAGTTTATTTTTAAGTGAAGGGCTGAAAGACTGTGAAATAAAAAAAGGAGAGCAGTGTAAGGAAAGTGGGAGCATACTAGAGGAGGAAAGAGAGAATGTGAAGCGAGAAAGAGGTCAGGGATTGAGGCTACAAAGGGGGTCAGGAGGATTGGGAGCGAGGAAAAGGATTGGTGGTGGACTGAAAACCCTGAAGAGTCCTTTATCGAGGAGGAGGAGGAGGAGGAGGAGGAGGAGGAGGAGGAGGGCCACCTATTAGTGGATAAACCCTTGGTTTGTTTCTGGTGCTGGAAAACTCTGAGACTAATGAATGTAAAAAGGCAAAGAAATAATAATAACTGCACTGGAGAAAAGAAAATTGTAAATTTAGGGAGAATGGGATTTTCAAACTCTAATGAAGTTCTTTACCATTTGGATTTTGGAATAATAATGAGTTATTTGTTTGATGAAAATAGCTTGAGTGAAATATTTTCCAGCTCAAAAAACAATGCGTCATCACCGATTTTATGTCTTCAGCGATGTCTTACACCGAGATTCTTGTTTATTACACCTGTACAATCTAATGCGGTCCCATATGATAGTTGACCGTGCAATAAATCACATCCTTTGTGTATCTCAGTCTGTTATTGACATTGTGTCAGAGAGCTGTGGATTCAACTGTATAGTCAGTGGTGGGGTTGTATTTGATGGCATTATAATGGCCCATTTACATATATGAAGAGACGGAAACTTAGAAACACCTTTTTAGCATAATGGATGCAACACCAACACTCACTAAAAAAAGGACCGGCTTCACAAAGATAATTAACCTCAGCGCTATTGTCTTCCTTATAATTTGGTAACTCTTCTGAATTATTGCACCAGTCGTAATCCATTAATGGGTCCTTCTTTTGTTATTTGTCTCGCATCCCCACTGAAAGCTGGATTACAGTGCATTAAAGCACCTTCTTGAGGAAGGATTTCAGAGCTGGATGATGCCACATAATACACACATAATACTCAAATAATAGCTGTTCTGTTGTTTAGACTTGTGACATTTTTCAAATTATGAAGTATAAGTATTTTGGAGTGAAACTTCACTCTAAACAATTTCACCGTAGAATAACGGTAACTTACTGGCAGCAGGGACGCCAGTAATTTAGAGATTTTTTACGATGAAGCTACCGTAATTTACTTTTACGGTATCTTACCGTATACTGGATTACGCTATGTGATAGTATGATAATTGGGTTTTACGGTGATTTTACATTATATGCCGGAATGTTACTGTTTATTTACAAAGGGTAATACAACCCAATACTTTTGCATTTAATTTCCAACAAATAAAATAATCACAATAGACATTCAATACATAATTGTTGCAGTTTAGTACATGTTCTCAAGGCAAATAATAAAGGGACATTTGTATTACATCACAAAATTCACAATGAACTGCATGTTTAGAAGAAAAACCATAAAATCTTTAATGACCGGCTTAACTGAACTCATGAGGATAACCTCAGACTAGTAGCGCCAGCTCACCGGCTCAGATCTGTTCTGTGTCTGTGAGGTCACCAGTGTGCTTGCATGCTTTAATAAACTCACAACATCACAGCAACTTCTGAATTGGACTTGAATGATTTCTTCAACACATACCACTCCAGGTATCGGTACCTAACCCTAAACAACAGTACCATACCACTCCAGGTATCGGTACCTAACCCTGAACAATAGTAGCACACCACTCTTGGGATAGGTACCTACCTCTGAACAACAGTATCATACCACTCTTGGGATAGGTACCTACCTCCGAACAACAGTATCATACCACTCTTGGGATAGGTACCTACCTCTGAACAACAGTAGCATACCACTCTTGGGATAGGTACCTACCTCTAAACAACAGTATCACACCACTCTTGGGATAGGTACCTATCTCTGAACAACAGTATCATACCACTCTTGGGATAGGTACCTATCTCTGAACAACAGTATCATACCACTCTTGGGATAGGTACCTATCTCTGAACAACAGTAGCACACCACTCTTGGGATAGGTACATACCTCTGAACAACAGTAGCATACCATCGGCCACTTTTCGATCGGAGCGTCACTGCCTCAGACACTGAATCAAAATAGCATTAAGAGTGAAACGCTGAACTGCATGAACTCACACATGAATGAAAACATTAAAAGAGGACTTGACTGCAGCATCTGGCAGGTATCCTCAATCTCTAATGATGAGTCACTGTAAAACATACTAAATAAAAACATAATGTTCTGAACTTCTGGAAAGTTCTATGACATCCAGGATGAACAAACTTAAAAGAAGCTTTGGGTGTGCAACTGTGGGTTCTTATGTGCCTCACACATATTAACATGCAAGTCTTTACAAAAAGCTAATACAACAATACCATACAGTTTAAATCAACAGACTATGTGATGAGCTGATCACGTTAGGTGAAGAAATGAAGCTAAGACAATGGACCACAATGGACTAACGTTCAACACTAAAGTGAGTTTGATCTGGTGTTAATGTTGCTCCTGTGATAACACACGTTACCGTTAGCGTTACCTCAACTGTTCATCGTCTTGAACACACGTCAGTGATTTCTGGTCCGCTCTCCCTTTTGGTAATCGTCCCGTTTGCGGTCCTAAAGTTGGTTCAATAAGAGCACAAGTAAACACAAGTTAGGTTACTAACATTACATCTTAACACTGTAATTGGTGATTAACTTTATTTATGTTAACTTAACTTGCTTTGCTGTTAGCTAGCTAACCTTTCTAAGGCTACTTGAGCTCGAGCTAGCTAACGTCACAGAGCTAACGTTAGCTCCACCAATATTAGCAACATAATGTAATGAAACAGACTAAGTGAAACATTATCTGAGATGTTAACAGTTCAATAATCATGAAGACAAAACAATAATGGAGACTTTGAATTTCGGGTGATAAGCTTAACGCTACCTTGTCTCCTCGGTTGATCTCCACATGGAATATACTCAGAAGGATGAACTGAAGCTGTTGTGTCCAAAGTCACATTCAGGAGCAGTCTGTCTTGTCACTCAAAAATGACTTTTAGGCAATGAGCAGTTTGAATAATAAAAAATATTCTATCGTCTTTACAGACACATTAACCTACAATAGACAGTACGATGTAGATGGATTGTGATTCACTGAACTTGTATAGAGAAGCGTATTTCCACCACTTCACAGAAAATACTATCATGCTGATAAATTACAGTAGTCTGCTGCTATTGTTAATTGACGGCATTAACTGTTAATTTACGGCATTGACTGTTAATTTACATGCGAGGGATGAACATTTAACTGTATGTTACAGTTATTATGAAATACAGTAAGATACCATTTTAAATCCAATGTAAATTTACAGCAATTCATTACAGTGTTGATACACATAATTAAGGTTGTCTCCTTTATCTTATTTTTGTATCTGACTGGCAGAATTGATATAACGGTAATTCATGGAGTATTATTCTACAAACTAATGCTGCACAGCAGCCTAAAATAAAGTAATTGAAAGGCACAGCTGGTGGTATTTAGAGGGCTCTATTATGGAATATAATATTCATAACCATGTTTTCATTTGTGTATAATCACCTGGAACTACGCTCACATTACCGCAGTCTTGGAAGGGGAATAGTAAGCGGAGGGGTATTTAGTTGGTTACAATCTGCAACCCCACCACTGAAAGGCACCAAATGCGGCACACTGTTCCTTTAAGGTTTGCTGAAGTCCATAATGGAGCCACATCAGTGATGTTTCTCTTTCAGAGTTTGACCCGATGGCACCGACGCTATGTTTTGGCCACAGCATACATGTAACTGCGCCTCTGAACAAGTCTCTTCTCTACGTTCTGTCTTTATTTGTGTTGGGGGGTCGAAGAGAAAATGTGTCACCATGGATACAGCTTTGGAAGAAGATGAGATGCTTTGCTAGAATTAAGCAGTATAAATGCCACAGAGGACCTGTGTGTGTGCGTGTGTGTGGGTGTGTGTGTGTGTAGGTGAGATCAGCAGACCACGCTTTAGTGACCTCCCAATCTCCTGTGAATAATTCATGACCTCATTCTGACTGGACGCAGCCCTCCGACACTGCCAGTACATTATTATTATGCTGCAGCCACTTAAGTGCTCAAAATTATTAATAAGCTTCGTTCCTGAGAACATATTTGAAAACAAATTATAGCAAACGAACTACGCTCCCTACAAGACTAAAAGCTTGGGGCTCAGGAGAAGAGCTGTAACTCACAGTATAGTTTCTGTTTTATTCACTATGAATAATGTCAGAGTCAAAGACAATGCTTAATGCTCAGACAATCAAACATGGCAACCCATACAGGCTGGTTAAACTGCTCCTTCCAAGTTCTTTCTCTCTCTCTCTCTCTCTCTCTCTCTCTCTCTCTCTCTCTCTATCGCTGATATCTAATCTGGCTGCTTTCCAGAAGTGGTGACCCAGAAATAAACCCGCACACCTGTCCGTCACCCGCTCAGCTCCAGACTCATTTTCATGATATTTCATTATCACCGGCTTCCAAAATCCGGCTGGCACAAAGTCATCGAAGCAGCATTGTACGAGACAGTCAGGCGTTTAGAGGATCAGCCGGCGCTCTTGTAATGCCTCTTTGTGGAGGGGACAAAAGGAAGGAAGGGGATGTGTGTGTGTGTGTGTGTGTGTGTGTGTGTGTGTGTGTGTG